TCACGCATTTTTCTGCCTTCCTTCAGAAAAATTTCCGGAAATAATTCAAGCACTAGGGAGATTATAACTGAAAATTCGCAGAAAATATACAAAATTCAAGTTGTTATATAATTTTTTGGTACACAAATTCACAATTAGTCAGTTACATATCGAATGTTGTTTGATGAACCTTACACTGTAAATAATTGATGTTAGTAAAACGTCACTTAATATTGAACATTCTGACAAATTTACTCATTTATATGAATAGGAATATTTGAACTAAAACTGATTAACTCAAATATAGGTACAGGCTGTTACAAATTCGCTTCTCATTACAGGGATCTCGGAAACGGTAAGAGATACGAAGTAACTTAAATGGGGGCGATGTTACATAATCAGGGGACCAACATTATGCCTCTAAAAAATCAAGGCTAACATGATTAGATTTCGAAATATTTGAAAAAAAAACGATATTTTGGAAATTCGTTTTTATTTCATTTCAGCCTTGTTTGAGGTGCTATTAAAAAAAGAAGAACACTTTCTCATGACCACTTTTTGCCCTCTATCGAATGGCATAATATTTTTTTATATGTAACGTTTCGTCTCTCCAAGACCGTTATCAACTTCATTTTTTTAAATACGATCCTGAAATTTTATTACATTTTTTGCAAGCCTTCATGATCCCCAATACTGTACTGCTTCAACTCGAACCACATTCAGACGTTTTGTCTAGAAAAATTCATCTTCAGTGTATTCGTTCCAAATTTATCTAAATTTTTTATTTAGATTTCTTTGTTTATTGAATTATCGTACACTGTACGTGTCGTTAGACCCTGTGAAATCCATCTAGTTAATAACTATTAGCATCACTTATACATAACTCAATTAACTTAAAAATGCATATGAACAACCAAAACTCCAACTGAATATTATTCTTAAAAAAAAAATTGAGTAAATTTTCAAAAACATTTTTGTTTTGGCAAAGGTTGAAAATGAAGATCAGCGTAATATTATCGGAATTTATTATATCTGTAACCGCATCTGTGAAAGAGCATGTCAGACGTATTTGTATGAATATCCTGAAAAAAATAGATCGGAATTTGTTCGAATTTTGAGCACTCGAGAAGCCTAAAAATAACTATGGGCACGGGAATAAAACTCTAATAATATTTTATTGTAATGCGTGGTGGTAATAGTTTAAATAACTAGATGGATTTCACAGGGTCAAACGACACTTACAGTGTACGATAATTCAATAAACAAAGAAATCTAAATAAAAAATTTAGATAAATTTGGAACGAATACGTTGAAGGTGAATTTTTCGAGACAAAAGGTCTGAATCTGGTTCGGGCTGAGACAGTACAATATTGGGGATCATAAAAGCTTGCAAAAAAATGTAATAAAATTTCTAGGGTTGTGTTTAAAAAATTAAGTTGATGATGGTCCTGGAGAGACGAAACGTTACATATAAAAATTGATTATGTCACTCGTTAGAGGGCAAAAAGGGCCATGAGAAAGTGTTCACCTCAAACAAGATTGAAATGAAACAAAAACGGATTTCCAAAATTTCGGTTTTTTTCAAATATTTCGAAAACTAATCATGTTAGCCTTGATTTTTTAGAGGCATAATATTTTGGCCCCCTGATTACGCAACTTTGCCCCTATTTAAGCTACTTTGTACCTCGTACCGTTTCCGAGATCCCTGTAGTGAGAAGCGAATTTGTAACAGCCTGTATAGGTGTAAGTACTCTGAACTCTTATTTAGTATACTTGTACCTAAATTGAAATAAATGTTCTCAATTTTTATTCCTCTCTTTGATAACCACGTCATGGGTAGTTTACTATTCCCATTGCCTCAGAACAGAGTCACCTCGTGTAGTACCAGGACACGTGCGCAAGGTCCTGGTAAAAATAATAATAATATGATAATACAGGGTGTAACAAAAATAAGGTTACTTTGCCTGCAGATAGCACTTAAAATTATTAGGGGTACTTCATATAAAATGTTTGCATAAAGTTCTCCCTTGGTGAGATGCAGGGTGTTGAAAAGTTGAAAAAAACATTTTTTTTTCAAATATTTTTAAAACGGTAGGAGGGAATAATCCGAATTTGGTACGAATACTACACTACATACCCCTCATAACTCGGAGCCTTCAATGATTAAGAGTGTAATCCAAGTGCGAAAATATGTGGTAGCCGGACCCCTTAAATATTGCTACGTCACTGACTTTAAAAAACATTTAGGCGAATTTCTAAATTGCCTGTTCCCTTTAGAGCAAAAAATGTAACTTTGCTCTTTCGGGCGAGCCTTCGTTCTCTAGTTCTGCTAAAAAATCGCTGTACCGTACGATAAAAACACATATTTTTCTTCAGAATCAAGTGACCTACTGTCAGTTGACGTTAGGATATTAGTGTTGTCATTGGTTTTTTATTAATTATTAAATTATTTTTGCACGATCAAGCTTTTTTAGTTCACTTACCATGTTTGTTTCTACGACAGTGGGATGTGCTTGCTAGTTGCTAAGGCTAACAAAACGGTAAGTAATTCACTTACCGTTCTAGAACGGTAAGTGAATAACTGTCAAAATAGACATTTTCATCATCGCATTGATTTGAAATGAGTTTTCTAGAATTCAGTTTTAAATGTGGGTAATTGATATAAAAGAAAGATGTATTTTAAATCTATTTATTAGTGTTGAAATTAAATGTACAGTTTGTACAATTGCTTACAGAAATTGGAGCAGTACATGTTTTTTCAATTTCTATTCTATTCTAGAACTGTCAATTTCGTCAATTAAGAAAGCCGTGACAACAATAAACATCAGTAGATTTCAAAAAACCTGCTTCGCAAATTTATTCAGAAACGTCATTTTTGACGTTACATAAAAAATTAAATACGTATATATAATTTCGTTTTCATTTATTGCGATCGTGCAAAAAATAGTATAAGCATCACGAACGTTAAGAGTTATACCGTTCTCAGACAAAATTGGAGGCTTCGCTTCGCTCAGCCTCCAAACATTGTCTTCGAACGGTAAATTACCCTTACCGTTCTTAATGCTTAATATACTATTT